TCGTGTTCCTCGTATAAATACAAAAGGAAAATCAAAAGTCGAAGAGAGACAGACAAAAGTATGGTAAAAACAAAAACAATCAAAGTATTGAAGTACTGAACATCGGATGACCGCAAGTTCTTGTGGATGGTCTCAAGCACTTGTCTCAGAAAAAAAACACATCTCTTTACCTGAAAGTGCGGTTAATGTACAGATATATATTTTTTTCTGAGACAAGTTCGTGCGTGGATGATGAATAAATAACAGGGAATTCAACCTCACCGTAATAACTATTACACTGTAGTGATACAAATCAGTAGGTCCGAGTACAAATAAAGTCCCTAGTGTGGACAGTGTGTAACTTGCCAATTTTTTTTATACCCCTTCCAAATTTATTTCTCCATGTTTTATGCCTCAAATAGCAAGTAGGGGGATGAAATTACACTGTAAAAAAATTTGGGTCATGAATTTTAAAGTAAAGTAGTGATTTGGTCCAGCTGAAAAAGGTTAAAAATAAGCACTTCGGAAGCTGTCAAAAGATTTCAAGACCCCCTTAACATAAAATTGTCCATATTTTGAGTTAGAGCCGATGAAGTTTTCTATAATTTTGATATAATTTGTCTCAAAAGTAGTACAACACACTGTAAAAATATTATTGAGAAAGCGCAGGTGGGATTTTTTTAATTTTCATTTATTGTCTAAAAGAAATGCACTACGAAATAACTGTGTACTCGGACCAGTATACTCTGCCGGGTTTGTTGTTATATATCATGTATATTAATATTTGTAAATAACAGTTACATGTATATATATTATTTTCATCCATTTGTATATCATTCTATTCTACTATTCTAATAATAGTGCAGTGCAAGTGCAAGTGCATGGACACTCTTCTGTAACAATTCGAATTTTCTAATAGATTGGATTTGAGTAGGCATTCATATTTCCCCGCAAAACGTTCTTGATATATTCTTCCGCATACGTTAGCACAATTTTTCTATACGTGTGCATAGATATTAATGATTGTTTACTTATATATATATATTTCTAACGACAAAACATTTTCATATTATTAATTTGTGTTCTAAAAAATATTTTTATGAGTATTCATTGAAGAAATGAATATATAACAAGCGATAAGGAATGTTATTTTGCACTCGATAATGTCTGCGTATTCATAGATCGGTTACCAGTCAAAAACGAAAGTTACGTAAGTAGAAATCTCTGTGGCAACCATACATCAGAATGCCCACACGGTCATCGCGATGTAAAAACGGTGAAATACAAAATACAGTTTGCAAAACAGTTCGTAAAAAACTCTGAGCAACACGAATCCCACAAAAAAAAAAAAAAAAACTGGGGTGATCTCAAGTATTCAGGCCGGGTAAACAGATCCTGCTCCAAAACTCGTTTAATCTATCTTTGAAAACAACTACCAAACCATGCAAGCTTATTATCTTTACACATGAACTTTCAATTGTATTTTTTAAGCAGTGTCTAATTAGGTAAATCCTTTACTAAACGTATTTGGAATATTGCATATACAGTGAGTGCACTTCTTTTTAACTGATAAAAGAATATACTTCTTATATTAACCACATTTTTTTAGATTAAAAAAAAAGAGATAGGTATATAATCCATTATAGCTCTTATACGGTTTGTTAGATAACTTCAAACAGTTTTATAATATACATTATTTTTATATCTTAATCTATATTTTTTCAATGGTTAAATGCTTAAAACGAAAGTTATTGTGCATAATCGAGAACTAGTATTGGTTTTAGCATTAAATTGTATTTTAAATTAATAACATCAAAGCATCCGATAGGATCTAGAGAATAAGTCACATGATCTAGGAAAAAATGTGATAAAACGTGCACAAATATGAAGTTCCCACTCGTTATAAAAATAGCCGTTTCTCACATGCCTAAATGAACTATTGAAAGATTTCACATGAAACTTTTAAGGTAAGATATGTTTTGTTTGTTAGTAGTATAGCAATAAGATGTGGTATGATTGCCAATGAGTCAGTTTACACAACGAATACAAAATATACGAAAACAGTCACATAATTGTAGAAAAAATTAATTGTATACATTAATATCCTTTGATGATAATTTTCACTAGTTAGGAAATTCCCTTATCGCATACAAACCTACACAACCTTTCCATGACTATTTTAATGAAAGATTTACAGATTGAGAATATCGGAACCATACATTTCTTCCAAATAATAACGATTTTCAGAAAAAGAGACACAAGAGCAATCAAAATTATGCTTCACCTATTGTTATTGCCATTTTTTTATGCTGAAGCTATACTTTTGTTTTATAGTATTCCCAGTTTTATGTTAGCAGTTGATATACAAAATATAGGAAACCAGTCACATAAATGTAAAAAAAACTAATTAAGTCGAGTAGCCATAATTATCCTTAAAGTTTGGTGTTATATTTACACTACTTAAAAAAATACCCTTTAATCACTCAAACCTACATGTACACGAACTACATGTATGCATGCATATTTTATTCAAAGCTTTACAGATTAAAAATCTTGGATCCATTTCAACCAGGTCTGCGTTTCCTCCGCATAAATAACGATTTACTTTTCGAAAAAAAGAAAATAGAACAATGAAAATACATGCATACGACGATTTTATTTATTGACATATTGTTTTATAGTAGTCTACATTTATACAAAGAAAAAAAAAAACGAAATTAGTCTGTCACATCATTGTAAAAAAAGTAATTTAGTCGTGTGCATGTATGCATAACTGTCCTTTGAAGACATTTTTTTACACTAATTAAAGAAATATCATTAAATTAGCTCTGTTAAACCTACACGAACTATTCATGAATATTTTATTCAAAGATTTACAGATTTAAATATTGAAACCGTTTTTTGAAGAAAAAATCAAAGAAAATCAAAGGAACGATAAAAACAATACATGTCGGCAAATGTTCTTAGCGCTTTACTTCTTTATGTAAGGGAGCTACCATTTGATTTTTATGAGGGGGGGGGGGGGGGGGTGGGGGGGGCTAGGATGAAAAATTTTGTCCTGCCTTTTTCTTTTAGTTGTAATCTCTGTCCTGCCTTTTTATTTTTCACACTATTCGGTCCTGCTTTTTTTTATTAGTTTATCCTGACTTTTTTTTACATAAATTGTCATCCTGCCTTTTTTTTTGCAGAGTGTCTCATCCTGCCTTTTTTTTTACTCAAAACTCCTGTCCTGCCTTTTTTTTTTTTGAAATTTCACCCTAGCCCCCCCCCCCCCCCCCCCCACTAAAATCAAATGGTAGCTCCCTCCCCCCCCCCCCCCCCCCCCCCCCACTAAAATCAAATGGTAGCTCCCTAATTGTTCGTGATTATGAGTATGCCACGTTCCTTGCACGTTAAAGGACCCTTTTTTGCAAGAACTCCTTAATTAAGGGTGTATCTAGGTACAAAAGTCATGAAGACTTTTACATGGTTAGATGTTCTGTCATTATCCAACATATCCTATTTGGTCCTTGGCAATATAAATTTCACACCATTCATCCAAGTCAATACACATTAGGAGATCCATCCAATTTAAGTTTTCATTACAATTTGTTCTCGTCCTGAATATTCATGAAATAATTACCACAGGACGTTGAGATAATAGCAAATAAAAGCCTAAACATTGTTAAATGGACGGATCATTTCCATTGATCTTCAAGTCCGTTATTGAGTACGTCGCTGACACCAGGCCCTGATTCAGAACTAGACACACTGGGTGCGCATTCCCTAAAATTGTTATAAAATATACTTACAGCCAATTTTGTGTCAAAATAAGGTCCTTAATCCCTTATTCTTAGGAGCGCCCCTTGTCATACCCAACATCAAATCCTGGATCCGGGACTAGATATACACTCATGTATCAACAGACTTAGGAAAAGTCACGTTATGGGAGGATAGAGCGCTCACAAACATGTTTAATCCCGCCACATTCTTTATGTGCCTGTCTCAAGTCAGGAGCCTGTAGTTCAGTGGTTGTCGTTGGTTCATGTATGCCATTTTTGTTTTTCGTAAATTGTCTTGATTAAATTAGCTCACTATACGGTATAGGCTTGTCTCATTGTTGAAGGCTGATAACCTCAAATTGCTTACATCCACTTCATTAGTACTTTGGTGAATATTTTTCTTTTTTGGCAATCATACCGCACCTCCTCATGTCTATATTAGTTAAGTTTTGTATCATCCACCTAAACAAGAATAAACAACAACAACAACAAAAAAAACAATCCATAAAATTTGAATATATCTATCTTAACCCGAAAATTCTGAAAGAAAAAAAAAAAAGAAGAAACATTCGTCGTATCTGTGTTTACTTATCGTTTGCATCTGCCGCCTCGATAGCAGTCAAGACGACCAAGAAGACAATGTGGATATCGTGGGGTGGGGGGGGGGGGGGGGAGGGGGGGAGAGGGTGTCCGGCCTCCCTTATGGAGCTACATTTATGATTAATCCAGACTTTTTACCGGTTCCACTCCAAACTTTGTCTACTTTGGGGGCCCGCTCACCCTGCCCCTTCCCCCTTTTCTTAATCTTGATTCTGCATCTTCTCAAAAATGTTGAACTTCATTAGTCCAGTCAGTCATGACTGGCACCTTTTGCAGCAAGAGGACAATAACAAATCTGGAGTTATTTATACTATACATAACCACAGAAAATGATACATAAGCCACAATGACTGTCAAACACTAAATTATAGAGTTCAACAACTCTGTAGGATGTTACCATGTTACTTAGAAAAAAGTGTTGTCAGATTAAGGTTAACTAGTATTATTATAAATGATCATATTTCAAAAAATCATGCAAAAGTTGAATATTGATATCATTATTTCATTCAATGATATTTGTGTAAACAAGCACTTGTATATACAAGTACATCAGTTTCCGTGTATTGTGACAATATGACAATGTAAGTCGTTACATATGAGCTTGTGATGTAAAATTCATCATAAAATCCGTATAAAAGTCTAAATATAGCGTGTGAAAATTTGAAAAAATTATCTAAAGATACCTGTGTAAATGTGTGGTGACATTAAATTAAGAAGGAACTTAGTACATGTAATAACGGAACATTTTTTAAGGTGAATTGCAATCTACTGTTTAAGTGATCATTTTAGTAAATTCGGATAAATAACTATTCGATTGCCAATGTGGGTTAACTCGTCTTTTATTTGATATTTACAGGACAAGATGTTGAAAACGTCGAACAAAGTATTTACAGCATTATTCGTACTTATAATGATATTAGTCATAATGGTGAATTTGACAGTGCTATGCTTTATCATTTACAGAAGTGTTAAAAAATCTTCAAATAACATTTTATTATTGTCCCTTTGTATTGCGGACCTTTGTGTTGGTATTTTTGTTATACCAAACCAGATTTTCATTGTCTCAACCGTAGCAGAATGGAGCCCTGTTATGTGTAAAATGTGTCTTTACATGGAATTCACTGCGGCATTTGCAAGTGCAATGACCTTGACCTGTATTGCAATTGATCGTTTCCGAGCGATTATGTCCCCAATCAAATACAAACAAACAAAAGAAAAAGTGTCAAAAATAACGGCCGTCATTGTATGGATTTCTGCTTTTCTCTACTCGTTCAGGGCTTTGTTTGTGTTTGACGTTATTGAAGCTGAGATGACAATGAATAATATGACAGTTATTCAAAAAAGGTGTACCGTACCGATCAAAATTCAACCATATCACAACGCTTTAATTATAACTGATTTCATCCTGTTATTTGGAGTGCCTGGAATTGTATTACTTGTCACCAATATCGTAGTTTCAGTATATCTTAATAAACAAAAACTGTCAAATTCCGATCAGATGATCCAAAAAAGACAAAAGGCTATACGTTTGCTTATTGCAATGGTCGCCATTTTTGTCACATGTCATTTGCCGTTGTTTGTTATAAGACTTTGTATGTTAACACACAAAGTCGAAAACGGAATGGTTTGGATTCGATCTTTTCTCGTGTTGTCTTTCGTTAATAGTTTTATCAATGTCTTTTTCTACAGTTCGCTCAATGAAGATGTAAAGAAACTGAGAAATATAATCTTGAATAGAATTTGCTTTTCTGGTCAGGAACGTACGACTTCATCTGTGCATCCGCTTACGACGTCTGTAACAAACTTGACATAAGTGTTTCCATTTGACCTCATAGATGTTCTTTTAAAACATTAGAGAAGAGACCTAACAGTTATTACAAATACAAACAACGATCCCAGTGCCTCAGACTAGTGCTGTAAAAGAATTTTTTGTTATCTTGAGGTGGAACACCAGAGAACCATTATAAAACATGTTTTATTGTTATCTTAAGGTGGAACACCAGAGTACCATTATAAAACATGTCTGATTAAAAGAACATTTAGCTATAGAAATCGGAACAGTAAATAACAATTCAACTACATATACGAGCTGAGTAATCAGAAAGACGAACTGCTTTAGAAATCGGAACACCAGAGAACAGTTCTAATACGTGTATAATCAGAAAAAAATCAGATCTATATCGGAACACTAGATAACTTCACGAATACTCAAAAGGACAAACTGCTATAGAAATTGGAACACCAGAGAACAATGTCAAAACATGTGTCTACTCTGATTTACTAACAGATATAGAAATCGGTATACCAAAGAACAAATCTAGCACATGTATAATTAGAAAAAAACAAATAGCTATAAATATCGGAACACTAGATACATTTTTTGTAACAATCCAACTACCGGTACATGCACATGTGTACTCAAAAGGACGAACTTCAATATAAATCAGAACACCAGAGAACAATTTCAAAACATGTGTCGACTCTGATCAACAAATAGCTATAGAAATCGAAACACCAGAGAACAATTCAAACACATGATATATAATCAGAAAAAAACCCCGAATAGCTATATAAATCGGAACACTAGATACCAATATCACTACACGTCTACTTACAAGGACAAACTGCTATATAAATTGGAAAACCAGAGAACAATTTCAAAACATTGTCTACTCTAATCAACAAACAGCTATAGAAATCTAAACGCGAGAGAACAATTCCAGAACGTGTGTCTACTCTAATTGACAAATAGCTATAGAAATCAGAACACGAGAGAACAATTTTAAAACGTGTGTATTCTCTGATTAACAAACAGCTATAGAAATCGGAACACATGGACACAATTTCAAAACATGTGTCTACTCTTATAGAAAACTGCTATAGAATTCGGAATACCAGAGAACAATTTCAAAACATGTGTCTATTCTTATGAACAAAAAGCTATAGAAATCGGAACACCAGAGAACAGTTTCAAAACATGTGTCTACTCAGATAAACAAACAGCTATAGAATTCGTAACATCAGAGAACAGTTTCAAAACATGTGTCTACTCTGATTTAAAAACTGCTCGGAACACCATATGACAATTCAAAAAAAAATGTATAATCAGAAGATGTAATTTTATGATCTATCGCTATGAATTTGATCCAAGCATGAGAAATGACATATGTTCTTACCTACTTCCCCGCCTTATATTGGTATCGTCAATTAATTATAATGCAAGTCAACAATAATTAGACTGAAAATGGTGGTAAAGTTTGTTGGTTCTATTGTTTTGTTTGGTAAGAATTAACTTTGTATTTATGTAAAGAAACAAATTGGAAATAAAGGAATCAATTTAGACGTATATACGTACATGTATTTCATATAATTATATGATTACATACGTACATTTAAAGAACAATATTGTTGAAAAACAGATATCAATATAGGGCTGTGAAGATGTAAAAATTTTGACATGAGGGTCTGGATTAGGGTCCTTCATTTCTGTATTCTTTAATTTTTTGGGGTTATTTTTCTCTATTCTTTATATTTTAGCACCCCATTATTCTCTATTCTTTATTTTTTCGGCCCTTTTTTCTGTAGATTTGGCCCATTATTCTGTATTCTGTATACCCACCCAGACCCTCCTACATTGTGGTATGTGTTTGGTTATAAGCCGTATAAGATAGTTATTTCTATTGTTTATGTAATGAATTCAATGGGTTTCTAACCGATAGGACCTCTTAGACGGACAGATGAGGGATTCAATATGTGCAGTTCTCGTTAATGTAGTAAAATCATTTCATACTCGTCTCCCTTGATAAAATGTTTTGAACATAATCTTGTTAGATGCAATTATACTATCTTCTTATGGTGATTCTATAAAAAAAAGATTGAAATCAAACCGTTATCCTATTGCCTATATGAAAGAATTGACTCTCATTTAAAGATATCTTCTGTATTATTAAATTACCAAAAACCCAGCAATGTTTGCTAATAAATAAAAGTACTTATGTTGGCAATGTTGAAATCAGATACTTGAAAAGTACTGATACTAAGTATACGGTACTTCAACAAAATTCGCGATTTCGAAATCCATAAGACACACACAAAGATACGGTTAAACAGTTATCGCCAAAGTTTCCTTATTATTGTATATTTAGTTCTTTTAGCGTTTTCATAATCACGAGACAGCAATTCTACATACTATTGTCTTTTGTCAAAATATTTCGGACTTTTCTGTCTTTTTCATAGCCCAATAATTAATATAGAACTGTACAACGATGAAAAGAAGAATATTTCCTCGTGCACGGTACTGAAAATCAAGAATATACCTACTTGCAAGTATCAATAAAATAAGAAGATGTGGTATGAGTGCCAATGAGACAACTCTCCATCCAAGTCACAATTTGTAAAAGTAAACCATTATAGGTCAAAGTACGGCCTTCAACACGGAGCCTTGGCTCAGTCCGAACAGCAAGCTATAAAGGGCCCAAAAAATGACTAGTGTAAAACCATTCAAACAGGAAAACCAACTGTCTTATCTATATAAAAAACGAGAAACGAGAAACACTTATGAACCACATCAACAAAAGACAACAACTGAACATCAGGTTCCTGACTTAGGACAGGTGCAAACAAATGCAGCGGGTTTAAACGTTTTAATAGGCGCCAACCTTCACCCTACCTGCAACAATAGTGTAACATCACAACATAGAACGACACACTATAAAATATCAATTGAAAAGACTTTTTATCAATATACAGGCGTACTTTTGTTATTATCTACATTCATAAAAAATGAGAACAGTCTGATATTTTCATCCTTTTATTGTTGTTTGAAAAACTGAAGCGTAAGTAAAAATTAGTACAATGCATATCTGTACAAAATTTACAACCCGTACGGTTGCTTATAATTGCTTACATTCAATTAATTTGAACTTTGGTGGATAGTTGTATCATTGGCAATCATACCACATCTCCTTATTTTTATAAAGTGAGTGAACTCTTATAATTACAAACTATAATTGAAAGGTTAACTATAATTTATGAATTTTTTCCCTATCGGAAAAACACTTTAACAATCGGAGATTTATATCTAGATAGTTTCCATCCTGTATCGTCCGAAAGTGAAAGTAAACTAGATATAAAAATTCCCCAAAAATCATGAATACATTACCTTGAATTTTTATTAGCACAACGTTAAAATTTATGCCTTATTTGTATAAAATATGTTACAGTAGTTCTTGGCAACAATTTCGTTTATTTATTACACGTACAACTGCATAGTTTACAAACCTTGTCGTGTATGCCCTTATACATGTATAATTCAGTTCTTAGATACATGTATATATCTGTCCCCCCTATTTTTTCATTGTTGTATGAATTGTATTCTATATCTTATGCCCCCTACACTATTTTACTAAGAAATCTTATATTTTCTGTGTTCAGTGTTTTTGTTTTAATGTTTGTTCTGTTTTATTTGTGTCTTGATGCCGGGCACTACATGTTTTAATTGCGTCTTGATGCCGGGCACTACATGTTTATTTGCGTCTTGATGCCGGGCACTACATGTTTATTTGCGTCTTGATGCCGGGCACTACATGTTTTATTTGCGTCTTGATGCCGGGCACTACATGTTTTATTTGCGTCACTACATGACAGTTTTCAAAAGAGTATTTCAACTGCAATACCTACATGTACTTGTATGCGCCCCGAAGATTTTTCAAAGCATACGCAGCTTTGTTCGTCGTCCGTCTGTCTTTTCCCGTACATTTGTCCCAAACCAATTCTTTCATTTAATTAGAACGAAACTTACCAAGATTTAAGATACACGTATAGGGAAGGGCAGAATCTTATTGATTTTTAGACTCTTTACGTTAATGTTCAAAGTTGCTCTCACTAACTATAATTTTTTTACACAAATGCTTTTTAGAAGAAAAATACAGAATTTTTGCAATTTTCCATTGTTATTTCCATTACGGAAACATCGTGCGCAGCCAAGAAACATCAACATAATTTAAGAGAAGCTTTATTATAACTATTGACATAATCTCACCAAATATAGAGTTGTTTCTTGGGTGCGCACATGCTTTGCCAATCTAAAATATACTAAGAATTTGATGAAAAGCAAGCAAATTTAAGAAATTTTACAAAATATACAAATTTCGTCATGGTTTGTTGCCATGGTCGCTCGTTTAATGTGAAATTTGTTTTTGTTTTTTGAAAACCTTGTACCTTAGTCTAGTTAGGACAAATTTAAGAATATGTATATTAACTTTTAAATTTGCAGTAATATTTTGGCCAAATAAGGGCCTTATTGCCCCTACTCCAAAAAAAAGGATTTTTAGACATACATGTATGTGTGCACCTGCAGCACTTTCTTAACATACATGAAGCTTGAACAAGTGCTTTAATTAATTAAGGTCTATAAAAACATTGGCCGCCATTGACAAAAAATAGTACGGTCTGTCTTGCATCTTTTTTTTTGTATTTACGATTAAAAAGTTGCAGTATAATTTTACTTTAAAAGTAATATAATTATGTATCCTTTATTTGTTACAGTTTCGTGTGTTGATCCGCCTCCACAATGTAACCGGACGTGTAATTACAATATAAAGTAGTCTGAAGTCGGTGTTGATTAATATACTTAGTGCCTGCCGAAACGCAACATATCATATTCTAAGCCCCCTTTGAAACCTTTTTTAAATAAAAATACAAAAATGTTTTTTCAATTAATTCCTCAAACAATTTGAAGACTTATTTGGGGTTTAACTTATTTACATTTTTTCATATCAGTGTTTGCATGCTTGATCAGTCGCTGTACATGTAGTCTTTCATTTGTTACTGTGAAATTTGTTACATTAAAGAAGGACAGAGACCTAACCAATATTAAAATCACTTTGAAAATGCTCAAAATAGAAAATAGCGTTCGATATACAAGGCGACTTGACATTCAAGTATGGAGAAAAGACTTCCGGAGCTGTCGAAATCATAATAAACATCTCCTGATTTCCGAATTTTTTGTGTATAATTACTATTAGTTATCTGTAAAAATTTAAATAATTATACTGTTGGTGTTATTTATTGTTTCCAAAATATCAATAGCAATTAATTATAGTGAAATGGAGAGGATATGCAATGACATTTAACATAAATTGTGATTCTACAACATTTCTAATTAGAGAAGCAAACCAACTCGTCATGTCATAAGGAGAAAAGTAAAACAGGAATTGCAAAAACTACCACACAGAACAAAAGACCGCACTATTTATCAATACCGACTACTCCGTAAAAAACCCAGACATACAAACAAAGGCAAATGACAATGATTAGCATATGGTTTAGATAGCCTGACTTCTTGATACAGGCCCAAATTGGTGGGATTAAACCATTTTATGTGCACACAACTCCCTCTTTTGACTATCTAGACGATAGGTCGTAAAACTCAAACACAATAAAACACATGCATAGTGCAGCTTCCAACATGGCGACAGATTAATTTTGGTTTTTCATGGACTTTGGAAGGGGCGAGAGTATCTTATTTAACTTAGCTCACAATACCTCTAGTTTTGTGTTTAACTCTTATGACCCCTTTGCAAAAATTAAATTTGTTATTTATTTGCTTGCTCTCAACAATAGTTTGAATTATGCTTCAAACTGAACTGACAAGCGGACGAAAGAATTTTTTGTGAGGAATGTAAAAGGGGGAAAAATCAATGGGGGCGATAAAAAACCATAAATCCAATAAAAAAAAAACAACACCATGGTCAAAGAGAGAGAGAGAGAGAGAGAGAGAGAGAGAGAGAGAGAGAGAGCCTTGCAGAAAATGGGGACTAAGTCAGGAGCTCCTGAAGGGTCAGTATTTCCTATTCCAGTAGTGATACCCTCCGTGGCTTTACATTGAAAACACTGACACCCTTATTAGCAAATGAAAAAAGACTAATAAATAACACTTCACAAAACACCAAACATAAAACAAGAGATTGAACATCACAAAAGACATTATAGTCCAAGTCGAGCCTTTGAAGACCTCCTAACTTCTATACAAAGATGCTATCCGTAGACTACTGAGGAGGTGTGTTATATACGTACCAGAAGTTCATGAACAAAACACATACATAACAGACATGAACCAACGACAACAACTGAATATGAGCTCCTGACTTAGGACCGGCATATAAAGAATATGTCTGGTTTAAAAATAGTCATGAAACAAATCAAACTGAAGTAAAACTAGAAATCCGACATGTCAGCCCTTCCCCCGCCTACACAGTTTTGTGCGAGGCACAGACGCAAAATAATAATACTGATGCAAATATAGAAAATACATAATTGAGTATCATTTTTTGTAAATATCAAGTG